TGATTCATCTCGAAGGAGATTTCGGAACTTTTAGAGGTCCCCATGAAGGCTCCCTGAAGATGCATTACGAAATTCTCTTTCCGAAAATTTTTCCGGAGTATTTCCATGCTTTGTAGATAKTGYCATTGCTCTTGATAATTCTTTCTTTCGATATCGAACCTTTTATARAACGAACCCCGATAATTCGAACTCTGAAGATGACTGGACCGYAGTTATAGTAAATGGACTCAATATTGTCTCTAAAATAATTTTTTTCCTTTTCGATACCTTTGTGAATATTTCCTTCAGTGCTTGTATTTGCTTCCTTGTCAAAATCGCGTCACCTTTGTCTGAAGTACTTTTGTTGGGTGAATATTCTGATGCCGGATGTGATGTGTAACCCGCTAGCGTTAACCCCGCCTTAGTGTGCTTGGCTCTTTGTAAAGAAACTCTAGTTTCAATAGGGACYTTTGTCGCCGGTGATGTAAATACCGTATTGAAAGTTCTTACAGGTTTGTGCGTTGGGGCTACTGATTTACTCATATCATAACGATGATGGTCGGTTTCGTATGGTCGGTTTACCGCAGATGGGACATTTTCAACAGATTTACTCTTATCATAACGATGATGGTCGGTTTCGTATTGTCGGTTAACCGCAGATGGGACATTTTCAACATTTAATGTCGTAAACAACTCAACAGTGACAGTGACAGTTGCAGTCACAGTTACAGTCGCTGTTTCTTCATTTGTTTTTGTCATTTCACGGTTAATGTCGTGTTTTTCTTGCCTGTGTTTTTGTGTCTTAGCGTGCTTTGTCGTTTTTAGAGTCGGCGTAATACGTACTTTGTTTTGTAGCGTTTTTATCAATTCACGTTGCCGGTTTGTGTTATATTTTTTACGTCTGTGTTTCTGTCTCGTTGCGTCTTCAGTCGTTATCAGTATGGGTGTATTAAGTAACGTAATTGGTAACGTTGTTAAACCATTCGCTAACGATAGCTTAGGTGATGGTATCAGCGTTGTAGCACTCGGGAAAACTTGTGTTCCATGCTTTAAACCATCAAAAGAGCTTGCTGTCTTCGCGGATTTTTCTGTTGTTTTTAGTCCKTTTGGTTTAGTGATATGCACTTTTGTAAGTTTGAATAATTCTGCTGTTGTTGTTGTCGTTGTTGTTGTTGTCGTTCTTGTTGTTATAGTCGTTGTTGTTGTTATTCTGGGAGCAATTTTTGCATTTTTCGTCGTTTGTGTTTTTTGTTTCACACCTGACATCGACGTCAATTTAATTATTGAAAAGCTGCGCTGTAAATTCTTTGTTTTCTTTGGGGCAGTTCCTGCGTTTGTTGTTGTTGTTGTTATTGTAATTGCTGCCTTATTGTTAGCTAAAGTTGTTGTTTTCGATGACGTTGCTTTTGATGAAGTTGTTGTTGCATCAACCCCTGTTATTGTCATCGTTGGTGCAACCAATGTCAAGAAAAAACTACGAGATCTTGGTTTCTCCCACGATAGTCGCGTCGACTGTGCTACTTTTCTTGATGCGGTTCTTGTTTTCTCTATGGAATGCGAAACTGCAAAGGAATCCTTTATTCTATGYGATCTCAAGCCTTGTGAATATTCCCCTACGTGACTATTAGTTATGCTTAAAGGCTGGCTCAAATGCGGCTTAAATGTATGGGATATTGATGCCTTGTGTGGTAAATAGGGTAGCACAGCAAGCCCTCGAGTTGGCCCCCGAGTTGCTAAAGCCTGAGAAGATGATTTTCCAATTGGTTCTCGCTCGTCAGGCGCTTTACTTTTAGKGCTTTCGGGACGAATTATTTCCTCATGGTCATGTATTTTTTTAATCTGGTTTCGTATACTTACTTCATAYGGCCATAGCTTGCTGAAATTRTACGTCTCRTTGCCACGTAAAAATTCAGCCATGTGGTATATAGTTCCATTGTTCGGTAAAGGSTCCTCATCTAAAAGATAACACAGCAACGAGTAGATATCAATGGCGTGTGCGGACTTCGGCGAACTGTAGTCTCTTTTAAAYGCCGGACCTCTTGCGTAGAATATTCCCGCGGAATTCTCCGTCGGCGGCCAGCCGTGGGTCCCCTCRGTCCATTCCCCTTCYGCCAGCGCGTTCCAGTCTGGTCGCATGAGCCAGCCTTCATCAATAACTAAATAAATTGGTGGAATTCGACGATGRTTCTTAAAATGGAGTTTCTCAGGAATATCTTGTTTTTTGTAAACTTTAAAGTGAGGATTTTTGGCCGCTTTTAATTTTCTATACACTTCTTCAAATTTKTTCGGTTTTGGCCAAATGTGTTCTCGTGCCGCAATGTTATTGAAGTAGTCGTCTGGASTTATRTAATCATGGAGTCGAATTTGACGCTTGTTTGTAGTCTCGACCATTCCATGATCTGATACTACGATAACATTAGTGCTTTCGATAAGTTTGCGATCTTTTAACCGTTGTAAGAGATACCCCAACACATCTTTATCGAGGGACTCGATTTTTTTGAGGTATTCTTTACTGTTKGGGCCTTTTTTRTGGCCCAATACATCAGGTTCCTCGATGTACAGGAGAACCAATTCAGGCGGATCCTCAGACATAAGCCATTCGTCCACGATGGTATCAATTCTCCTCTGATAAGATTTAGCCCAGTTAAAAAAACAATGTACCCTAAAATAGAGTCTCAGATAYTCCATCATCATTGGGGCAGTGTATYTTTCGCAATCAATGTTACAGAATTCTTGCGCGTAAAACGTTGGGTTTTGTCCGTAACTTGTACTTCCAGGCCAAAAATATGCCCCTGTTCGTCTACCACGCTGTTCAAGCGTCTTCCAAATTGGCTCCGACTCGTTGTAGTACTTAGGGTCGAAATTAGAACAGTCGTGCTCCATGATAAACTTCGATAGATATTTCGGATCCCAGAACTTGTTGTCAACAATTCCATGGCTTTCGGGGTATAGACCAGTAAGAAATGTTGTATGAATTGGAAACGACTTAACTGGRTGAACACCTATGAGGTTTTTCGCTTTGACTCCGCTTTTCGCAATGAAGTCAAAATTGGGCGTCTTTGTGAGGTTGCTTTCCAGTGCTTTCCATCCAAGACCATCAAACGATACCAAAATTACTGGCTCCTTTGATTTRTCTTTCGTCATTGCTATTAAAATCTCAGCGTTTAATAAAATAACGCAAAACACAAGTTGGTAGCTCAGGCAATCCATGGCGCTGGAAGAGGAGTGAGACATTCGACCCCAGTCCGATACATCGCTTTATTTATACTAGAAATAAGTGAGTCTTTGGATATTTATGTTGACACTCTTATTACAAACTTATTCTGTAGATAACGACCACAAATGACTAGTAGGCATCTAAAGCCTACAGCGAGCGGTTAAGAATAGATTGGCTGACTTGCTGAAGGGTTCATTGGCTGGTCAAATACTCCTTGAATAGCAAGTGGCAAATTGRACCATAATTACCACATATCCTAGAGTTTGCGTAAGTGAATCAAAATTACATCTTCATGTGTGTTGAGGGTGGCTTCATCATTTCTCTAGTGTGCGTCGAAAACCGCCAGTTTAAACTACAGCAGGTGTTGCGCTCGCGCTCTGACCTAATATTAATTTATAAAGTTAAGTGTGAAAACGTCAACTGTGARAATAGTGATCGAACMTGATTCATTTTGCAACCTTTTAATAASTTATGAGCCGACTTCTCCAGGCGTCATATTTGTACAGTATTATCTACTATCAAAATGTTCAGTRTTTTTAAGCCTAGATTATTTTCCATTTTGTTTTCCTCTATTGTAAAATACAGTAGTTTTCGTGACAAACAGCAAGGATTAAACCTATATTTCTGATCAATACTTTCCTTCACTGTCTAATATATTTAACACTTCTACATATCTGTTTATTTAGAGTTAATTTTCAAATSCTTAATACTAGGTAATCCTACTTTTCGTTTTTCTTCATTTTTTACTTCTTTGTAACCTGCAGCATTTGAAAATCGTGCAAAAAATAAAAGCGTTTAAAACTGAATTCTTTTATAAGAGATTTACCTCAGGCACTTAGCAAATTTAAGCTCAGGTCATAAATATTAGGACGTTTAGTTTGGGGAAATGATTTTTCCATGCGACTTATTGGCGTCTTCATATGCGTTGTGTAGGTAAGCAATATTTAGAGGAAAACGTATTTGAAAAACATAGCACTTTTCATTTGTGMTTTAGGAAAACGACATGGAATTTTCTTGAACAATCATTTTTGTTTTCCCATTCCATTTCAAAAATATTTCGTAACACACTTCTAAGTTATTTTCCAATAAAGTTTTGTCACAAAGATTTGACTAAAAATATAATGAGGGCTTGTTTTTGAAACATAAAAATTCTTGCATATGAACGCTGCTTTTCCATCTATTGAATTGTAACTGAGACTTTTACTTTTCGTGCACAAAAATGATGACATTTGCGACATGTGATTAATTATTGAACCCGAGAATYATAAGCTAATCTAAAAACCACTCCGTACAACAAGGTTCGAATTTAAACTCTTGGTAATATAAATCCATTTTCTTTGACTTATTGTATTTCCCACTCATAACCACAAATCCAAATTTTGATTGGACTCTTTCAACCCCCCTATACTACTTCTGAATTATAATCATTGACTTTCTTTTGTGATTTGACGAATCTTAAAAGACTGTACTCATATTTTATTTAGATTGATAGCTTTATAGCCACTATGTATTTAGGCACTATTTTCAAGCCTCATTTAAATCAAAGGAATCCGAACACCTCTTATTACGACCACCCACGATATCGACCAACGCTGATACTATTAAGTTATYTTTGTTTATTACGTTTGTTTCAATCGGACCTAAGGCAGTTAGGTGCGCARASAGCGGTAAGCTTTTTTAAGCTTTCCCAGTTGTCATTGGCGCGCCATTGATTAATTGTTCTTGGCCTTCAAAAAAAGGGAGAGAAAAAAGGAAGGAATAAAAAGAGATATGGTCGTCCTAAAAATGCAAATATTTCTTTATTCTTCTTTGCCTTTAAAAACAAAGAAAAAGAAAAAAGAAAAGAAAAAATAAAGAAAGAAAGAGAGAAAGAAAGGGAGAAAGAAAGAAAGAAAGAAAAAGAAATATGGTCAAATACTTTTATCATTAAGGGTCTATTCAACACTAAGTGAAATCGTTGATAAGTCAGAATGTTGGACGTTTCAATAGTACAAATTCCATATTTCGGTCGAATAACAGTACAAGGAAGAAATGAAGAGGACGTTTAGGGGAAACATTAGATAATCCTCCCGGAGCCTCGTCTTCAATTCTTTTTAGCATGGGCGCTCAACCAGGATATCGAAAGAAGGCTATTGTCTAGACGATAGATGTCTAATTTCCGAGATATCAAAGGCCCTCGAAAATTCCAAATGCTAATGAAGTGCCGTTGACACATGTTGCATTTGGCACATGAATAAAGTTGGAATATTGTTGTACGACGTATGACGTCAAATTACAATATAAAAAAAATTGTAGTACGTTCACGTCCAGACACGTGGAAATGATTGATAGYATGTAGCCAATCACAAACGAGCATATGCTTTTCGTCACTTTTCTTGTTTCGTTTTCTTTCTCCCTCAGGGCAATATGAGAAGAGATATCCTAACATTTAACAAATCACCGACAGTTTTGAGCTATTACGCCCATTGAATGACACACTCTTCACGTCATAAAATTAACGTAAGTGGTTTTCACTTTTTTTGACGTTTTTATAACGTCAAGAGTGTGTCAATAAGAGAGCATACAACGCAACAAAAAACTCGTGTGAAATCTTAAAAGAATTTTTGTCGGAAATCTATTCRCGACATTAGTTAAAAAAATTGCGAAAATCTTTCTCTTATATAATTCTTTTATCTGAAAGCGAGTGAGACGTGATGATGTTGCACAGTTGGAACGACCTGTTATTGCCATATTCTAATCAGCCAATCGGCGCGCAGATAAAAATAGTACTATTTTTTCTAAGGGTTAAATTATTAAGTMATAAGTTTTAATCCACTAATGTCTAATCTTCTTTTAATTACTGTTTTTTACTATTTGCGGTTGATTCTTGTAGTAGTGAGGTTTTGGATTATAACAGGAAGGAAATGAAAACGTCTCATCGCATTTGCCGAGAATTATGGAAAGATGGTACACCTACCTCGCCTTCTAATTGATCTATTGCATAATTACGTCAAACCAAAACATTCTATTGTTTTCACGCTAAGGATTATGGTCGCCAGAAGGGATCAAAGTGACTGCATATCAAATAAAATGTACATCAAAACTCGATACACTAAAATTCTACTTTCGGAAAGAATGTTGATAGGTCTAAATTTCGAGTCTTTTTGAGCATCATGCCATAGGGCAATTGTAAAACTGTCCCTTAGGTCGCTATTATCGTTTGGTGTATAGACCCCTTGCAGTTTATAGAAATGCAACTACAACTGGCAATGGAGGACAAAACAATGGGCTCTTGATCCCAAGAGAGTAAAATTTTTTTGTTTTGTCCTTCAGGTTTAGCTGCTTTGACGTCATCTGCAAGGAGTCTACATTAAAGGCCCAGTTTGCACCATCATGCTTTGCGCGCCTCTTATTGTTATGAATTACACCAAAATACTTCTAGTAACCATAAAACGAATTTCAGATGGTTGAAAACTCTTATATTAGCGTTTAAAGTGCTTAGAAAAGTGAGGTGGTCAAAGATTCGAAACACACAGTACAATTTATAGACTTTCGGTAAACTGAAAATGACCACCTCCAGGCCCTCGCGGCCCACAAAGCATAATGGTGCACTGGGCCTTTAATAGTGTTCTAGGGATACGATTTTAGAATGTCGTTAGTTTGATTTCAAATTAAGTACCATAGAATTAATAACCCGTGTTTTCTTGCTTCATCTGTACATTTTTTCCTGTACCATCCAGACTTATGCATCAGGCAGCCCAGCTATTATTGTACAGTAATATTCTCAGTAATTCCAAAGGCGTCGCAACCCCGTGACAATAAAGGTGAATAATAAGGATGCGTGACTATATCAGTTCCCACTGCGCCTGCGAGTCGTATAGCACTGTCCAGCGTCATCATCGTGCAGCTATCATTTTTTCTTTGTAACAGAGGCGATTTTAGATACCTTTTATAGGACATTAGTTTAGCACTGTTTCCCTTCTCGTTTGGCAGAGCCATTTCTTTTTGACAAGGACGTTTCAATAACTTACACAGTGCTTTCTTGTAYTCGGGWATTCTAAGCGTGTAGAAAAGCGTGTTGAGGAAAGAATTGCTGAATTGTAACAGCTTGAAAATGAATGTCACAGCCGCGTAATCGTTATGAAATGGWGCCCAACAYTTGGTACAGAAGTGGATAACAATTAACAGCACTTCAAATGGCARCCATGTTAGTAAGGAAACGAAAGTAATTGTCATTAAGGTGTGGGTAAGTTTCCTCTCTCTGTCCATGTTTGGAACCTGCGGCCGCCAGTTTCTCCTTTGAACTCGYTTCCTCACAAGCTCATAACTGACAGCTATGGTAATTAATGCTGACGTAATGCTAACAACAGCGGTTATTGATAGGGTGTACTTTGGAACWATCTTAAGGGCGAATCCAAGAATATAGAGTAGGCCTATTAAGACCGCTAGTAMCCACGGTGCTATAACCAAAACGATATAAAATGATCTTTTCGCTGAGCGATGCTTCAAAGGCCAACGTACGGCGATAAGCCTTTCAATAGCGATAACCGCTAGGGTTAATATAGACGCAAATCCAGACACGATATCTATAACTTCATGAGTAGCAAGATGAACAGGACTACCCCGATGATGCGAWGGATGTAACAAGTCCCATGTAAATAATGGACAGGAAAAGCATCCCACTACCAGGTCTGCGCATGTCAGGCTTATGAGGAGGTAGTGGGTGCGCTTGCGCACTCGCTGTAGTCTTGTTTTTATAAAGACCGTCAGTGTTAGTACATTGGAAACTACGATTGCGCATGTTATGATGGAGAAGACCGCTGCCCAACACACCTCTTCGGTGGTAATGCCGGTTGAAGTATTATTCATCTGGATGGCGGATCTGTAATGGAAAGGATTTTTTTGTTAATAACGGAGACGTTATCGCTATAAGGGTTGAAGGCCTACCACTAATCTAATCTAACTAGTCTTCTTGCATAATGACGTCATGTGTTCTTCACATAAAATATCTGTGTTGGCGATGTCGGACATTTGATATTGGTTTTATCTGAACAAAATTATTGTATCATAAGGGAAACTTCCAACTCCTAACATATACAATCGAACCTCTATTAAGCGGACCTCCATTAAGCGGCCACCCTCCGATAAGCGGTCACTCGTAAATTCCTCAAAAGTCAATTCTCATATATATTTACTTTAAACATTTTAAACGTTACCTCTATTTAACGCTCAACCTCCATAAAGCGGTCACTCATGAATTCCCAAAAAGACTAGTACATATATTAACTTTAAACATGACCTCTATTAAACGGTCAACCTCTATTAAGCGGTCACCTGGTCCTTCTTAAAGCCGACCGCTTAATAGAGGTTTAGCTGTATATTTTTTCATTTTGGAAAACATTTTGTTATATTTTATAAGACTCTTCCCTAAAGCATAAATAGTTAAAAACTTCTGATTGTTATCTACTTTATTAGCGTTCACGATTCCAGAAGACGCCGTTAAGCAAAACATGAATTAAGATACTATCTTTCATCCAAATGTATTTTTGATATCAAGAGGGCTTTCTTTCCGCGTCGTCTCAGGTAGCAAAGAAATATATATTTTTGAACCTAGCAAGGTTTTTTAATTAGCATATCCAATAATTAGTATATCCAGCTATTTTAAAAAAGTTAAGTAGTATTTAACAAATTACATACGATTTTGAGTTGTATGTCCTCTTATTGACACACTCTTGACGTTATAAAATGTTCAAAATTTAAGTGGATCCACCAGCGCAGAGACTTTGTTCACTGCAAAGCTTTGAACGTTGTACATCTCGCCCAGACTCGTACCCAGTCATTACTCTTTTTTGGCCATGCTCGAAGACGCTGATGGCAAGAAGAGAGAAAAAAAACTACTCCTTTCCTTCGTTCTTCCCTTGATGTATTGCGCGTCGCCAAAAAGCGAGGAAGCGACTGAGTACGAGTCTGCTTTTCGTCGATGTCATTCGGAGGTGTGCTAAAAGCTAATATCTATATTTGCATTCCTTTATCGAGCTTTTATTTATGTTTGAAAATGCGAATACATCGTAATATAAGCAAAAACTTACTCTTTATTATCCCTTTATACTATATGAATGGAGATACTGTAAGATTCGACCTTAAACTGATGGATGGAAACGGATTTCGAATGGATATTTGAAGTCCCATCATTTTCCATATATGGAAAAATCTGAAACACGACCGCATTGAATGCTATTGGAACATGGCTCTATGTCTGAAACGTGTCTTTCATCCTACAAAGTCTCGCTCGTAAATCACGGCAAATGCCCAAAGTTAATCTCACGGCAAATATTTAGATCCTTTATGATTAAGAGTATTATGAGAATGGAGACATGATTCTCATTTTTATTTATATACGGCTTTACTTGAT